TATCATCAGCATAACAGTGAAAGCTAACACCGTGTTTCCTGATGATATCTCCCAAGGGTAACATGTAAAGCGTGAAGAGTAACGGCCCTAGTACTGAGCCTTGAGGTACTCCATACTGCACTTGTGATCGATATGATACCTCTTCATTCACTGCAACGAATTGATAGTGGTCAATAAGTACAATTTGAACCATGCTAATGCACTTCCATTGAGAGGAATCGTCAGGAACATTATTACTGCAATCTTCATCACCTCACATGTACTGCTGTCATCTGACACAAACTAGCAGGTCCTGGAGACTTCCCTACTTCAGTTTTTAATGCGTCTCAAAGGCCCCACTATTACAGCGATTATATTATTATTACTATTATAGAGACCATTGTGTGTTAATAAACTGTTTCTTTCATTCGAAAGTTTCTCTATCCAGTGCTTTTTTCCAGCTGACTGACGTGATCTAGACAGCGTCTCTCGAACCCTAGTGAGCTGACTGACGTGACCTAGACAGCGTCTCTCGAACCCTAGTGCGCTGACTGACGTGACCTAAACAGCGTCTCTCGAACCCTAGTGCGCTGACTAACGTGACCTAGACAGCGTCTCTCGAACCCTAGTGAGCTGACTGACGTGACCTAAACGGCGTCTCTCGAACCCTAGTGAGCTGACTAACGTGGTAATTACTGAACTCTTACCCGTGGTAATTATCACGCGACGGAAGCTGCTCACCGGAAGTAGGTGTGTCCCGGATGAGGTTCCTACTGACTGCTTTCGTTTGTTTTTTCTTTAAGTATATTTATTTACCTCGAAAACTGCAAAATTACAATACAACAGAGGCAATAAAATACATGACGATGAACGCTACGTGTAATAAATAAATATATAAAAGGAGCGACGCAATAAAATATGGGGCAAAAATAAAATAGTTTTACATTTACATTGTCATTTAACAGATGCTTTTATCTAAAGTATTGTATAATAAATAAAAAGAAAACAAATAGAATACAAAAAGATTAAAGCAGCTAGTGTTTTGATTTTTGATTTTTATTTTTTAAAGAAAACAAGCAGTTAGTAAATGAATAGAGTCAGTGCAAGTCTAAAAGAGACAAGTTTGTTTTAAAGAATATAATTAGAATACTTGAGGCACTCCATACTGCACTTGTGATCGATATGATACCTCTTCATTCACTGCAACGAATTGATAGTGGTCAATAAGTACAATTTGAACCATGCTAATGCACTTCCATTGAGAGGAATCATCATGAACATTATTACTGCAATCTTCATCACCTCACATGTACTGCTGTCATCTGACACAAACTAGCAGGTCCTGGAGACTTCCCTACTTCAGTTTTTAATGCGTCTCAAAGGCCCCACTATTACAGAGATTATATTATTATTACTATTATAGAGAACATTGTGTGTTAATAAACTGTTTCTTTGATTCGAAAGTTTCTCTATCCAGTGCTTTTTTCCAGCTGACTGACGTGACCTAAACAGCATCTCTCGAACCCTAGTGAGCTGACTAGATCCAGATGATTATTATTATTTATGTATTTTTCTGCTCAGGACAGGAGCAGTGCTTTGCAGCGCTGGAATAATGATCTCCAGATGGCGCCACTTCATCATCAAACACTGCTGAAAACAAGCCAGATTCGGGTTTGAGGAGAACATTTGCTCTGACGAATATAACATTTTCCTAACAACACAAAGAAATCGATCATATATATATTTCATTTGGAAAAGTCATATACATTTGAATGAAGTAAAACTGATGGCATATTTAGGACTAGTCAGTTCAGTTAAACACTTGTGTTAAATTGCGATGTCTCATAGCAACATAAATATGAACAGGGACATTCAAAAAACTAAATGCACAATAGGAAAGAGCAGGTGTAAACAGTTGTTCGGGTCAGTGATCGGCAGCAGTGTGAAACACACAGCGGTTACTGCTGTGACTGACACTCGAGCCGCTGGGAAACACACTGATCAAGACCACACAGAGCAGCTGCGCCTATTGGCTGCTTCCCTCTGACGTCACGACAAAGTTGCGTTTCTGTCGCGTCGCGTCTCGCGTCTCGCGTGTGGCCGAAGGAGCGCGAGCGCGTCGGTGCTCATCACTCGGTTCTTTGCGCGCTTCTGTGAAACTATTCGAACGAAAGAGACGCTCATTTCAGCGGATCCCATGTGTTTGGACCGAACGCAAACTTTTGATTAGAAGTGGTAAGTTTTATTTTTTGTGACTCTTTGCATTATATAAACTACCTCAGGAATGAACTATTCTGCTAGAACTATTGTGTGCACGGACTAAAGCGACCCCTAGTTTAATTTAGGTCCTAATTTAATAAGGTCAAACGCGTCTGATTAAATATGAATATTTAAAAAATGCTGATACATTTTCAGGTGACCGGATAAGAAGATGTGTTTGGTGTGTGTTTGGTTCATTTGGTGTGTTTTAATCTCAGATTTACATACACATCTGTGATGCTGCTGGAAGTCTTGTGTGCCATGAGAGAGAAAGTGTGTGTGTGTGAGAGAGTGTGTGTGCGTTTGTGTGTGTGTGTGTGTATGCAGGGGTTTTGTTGACCAGGTCTTATATGTAGCAGTGTGTCTCTTGCAGGCCCGGTTCTGAAAGAGCAGGTGTAAACAGTTGTTCGGGTCAGTGATCGGCAGCAGTGTGAAACACACAGCGGTTACTGCTGTGACTGACACTCGAGCCGCTGGGAAACACACTGATCAAGACCACACAGAGCAGCTGCGCCTATTGGCTGCTTCCCTCTGACGTCACGACAAAGTTGCGTTTCTGTCGCGTCGCGTCGCGTCTCGCGTGTGGCCGAAGGAGCGCGAGCGCGTCGGTGCTCATCACTCGGTTCTTTGCGCGCTGTAGCAGAGTGTCTCTTGCAGGCCCGGTTCTTGGCGGCTATAGAAGGGTGGGCTGGCAGATATCCTGGGTGGGCATTTTTAGTCGTCATATCATCACATAGTCTAGAAGATATTTATACTGTACATATTGCTATATTAAGTATATTATATTTACACTGAAAAAGCTTTCATGGGCAGCCTAGAAAATCATGCACTTTCACCGCAAAATAAACTTTTTTTCCCTTTATTGAATAGAAGATATTTATACTGTAGATATTGCTATATTAACTATATTATATGTACACTGAAAAAAGCTTTCATGGGCAGCCTAGAATATCATGCACTTTCACAGCAAAATAAACTGTTTTTCTTTATTGAATAGTAAAAAAAGCCCTCTTTGTTCTCTTTCTCTGGATCATTGTTTCTACACTGGTGACTCTTTTCAGCTAACTGTTTTATTTAAACAAGGCTGTAATCATGTCTAGAACATTGGGGGGACCAGTTGTTTTGAGGAAAATATAAAGACCAGACCACTATGGTAATAGTATTTATTTAAAGGAGTTA